CACACACACACACACACACACACACACTCCCATACAACACTCAACACAAATTCAACAATATCGAACCAGTATCTAAAAACGTCATCCCCCTCCCACTCCCCCCTCCCCTTTCCCCCCCAAAACAATCGTATCAGAACACTCCTTGTTTCGCCGAAGAAGTAACTCCAACAGTATCAATCAAGTTATCTTCCCTTGGGTTCGGATTTCTTAATCCCAGTGTGTTTAAACAGTATTTCTGTTTGAGACAGGACCCTTTACAAAAGATAACAGTCCAATAATACACGGTAAGATAAGCACTGGTTTTATTTTTTCTATTTCAAGAAAGCGCATAGCGACCCTAGACAGCAAAAATGTCTCAAGTACGAATATCGTTGAAATTAAGAAAATGAAATCACCCTTGATTAAACTTCACAACACATAAATTAATATAGTTTAAAAATACGAGTAAAATAACTCATTAAAAAATACAACAACAACTAGAACAAGAAAAATTGAAAGTACAGTTATCATGCTTCGAAATACAAAAGGCCAAAATTATCAATCTCATTTATCTCAAAACAGTGATAATTGCACTTAGGTCAATTACTTGGCTTTTCCTGGGTCAACTTGTGTTGGACCAATGTTGATTAAAAAAGAAAGACGTATCATTTATTTAAGAGTTAGAAGAAAGGCTGGCGTAGTTGTTAGAAGTCGGTGGAACGAGATAGACCCTCCGTGGAATCACTTTGTGTTCTTTGCGGATAAGTAGCTGTTATTTTGGGAAGGGCCGACTGTTTCTTGCAGGTAAGGGCATAATGTTTAGAAGAGAGAGAGAGAGAGAGAGAGGGGTAAATCAGTCAATGTGTTTACCGATATCGTTAAAAACTGCGGGCAATTGATCAGAGCTATATTAAGTCACACATTTCTAGCGTTCAGACGTGGCGTTTATTTGTTCACAAAGCACGAAACAGCACAAAGCGTGCATAGTAGAGTAACCACAGACAGTGATATCACCTCTCAAGTGTTTGTTCTGCCGTGCAAAACCATACTTTTCTTTTTACGTGTCATCCTGAGGTGACATTAAAAGTCTCAAGATTAAGGTCTCTGGTATGAGAAAGGCCGATTTGGCGGGGATGCTTTACGATTTGGCTTTCAAAATGTCCAGCTGGGATTGTGGGCAGTTTTCTCCCAGATCATGGTTAATAGTGGGGTTTTTTAAATAGGAAATATCTCCGAATTTATGTGTTCGTGTGTGTGTGTGTGTTTGTTTGTGTGTGTGCGTGTGTGTGTGTGCGCGCGCGTGTATGCGTTTGAGTGTATATGTCTATATGTTTGGGTGCGTGTGTGTGTGT